CATGGGAAAACATTCTATGTGGGAAAATAATTTCCGAACAACATCAGCGATAACTGGCAAAAAAGGTGACATTTTTTCACCCCCCCCCATTTTCCATTTTGAAAACCAAAATGAAATTCAATGGAAAAATTTAAATTTTCAAAAATTTTAAACCAACTTAACAGTAATATTCACACAGTACGGTCGCTGTTGTTTTATTTTTTTTAAATTATTCAATTCAAGGCAATTTAAAAATGACCAAAAAGAAAATTTATTCAAATGTTTTTAAAAAAAAGTTTTAATTCATTTTTTTTCGAAAACAAATGAAAATTTTCAAAAAAACGAAAAATGGCCAGCAAAAATGGATCCAGATAGAGATTTTCAGCTCACTCTCTTCGTTACTGAAATTACAAATTTTTTATTTGTTTTAATTGAAAAAAAATCAAACCAAAAATGGAGAGAAAAAGAAAAAAATTTCTTAAATCCCAAAGATGCAACATTATTTCAGGAAGAAGAAGAAGAAAAGAAAAGAAAGATTTATGAATTTAATTTGTTTAAATTTTAAAAGATGTTTCATTTGGAAAATCTGAATGTTATTTAGTTGTTTTTTTATTCTTAATTTCATTTTGACATTATGGATTTAAAGATTTATAAAAAAAAACAAGCTTATATAACAATCATATTACAAACTTAATCCTCATGTCTTCAATGATGTTAAAATAGGTTGAGGTAGTTTGGAAAATAAATTCCTAGATTAAATCATCTTTTCTTTCCAAAGATGTTTCAAAGACAAATGTGTAGTGGGTGTCCATAATGATGAATAAATAATACATACCTTGTTTTTGTGATGGATCTATACAGGATAAAGGTTTAGTTGATTGATTTGAATTCATTAAAATGAATAAAAAACACAGAAATAAACACAGCAATTGATTTCATTGAAATTATATCAATTTTGGTAGAAAAAAAAACACAAACTAAAAACTAACCGACAAAACAATACAAAAAAATTTTTCACAAAATCGAAATAAAAATGAAAGAGTTCATTTGGTGTTTCATAAGTGTTTTTTTGTTTTTTCGGGCACAAACCAACCAAACACCAGAAGATGTGTCTGTGTGTGTCATGTGTGTGTGTGCGTGTAAATACATATATGAACATCCTCCGTAAAAAAGTATTTAGTATACAGGGTGAAAAAGAAATTCTGTTAGTTTTGCGACATGTTTTTTTGTTTGTTTCCTTAGCGCACAATCGATGAATCAAGAGTTTATCGGCAAAAAAATAAAAAACACGAAGGAAACACCGATCGCGTTGTTGGTTTATTATTAATTTTATCATTAACACAAATGAAGGATTTTTCTTTCTCTCTCCTGGTCACATTTGTGTGTGGTTGGTGGTTGGTAAATATTAAAAAAAAAAATAATAATATCAAATGAAAGATGGATGGATGGTTGGATGGTAATCGATTTGATTCGTAAACAAGAACTTTTTGGTTGTTTGTTTGTTTGTTTGGAACCCAATCAAATTTCAAAATATACACACATTATCGATTCTCTCTCTCTCTCTCTCTCTCTCTCTCTCTCTCTCTGGATAAAAGTTATTTATTTAGAAGAAACAAGAGAAAGAAAGTATATTC